TTACAACGTATTCAAGGAGACATTTGTGGTCCTGTTGACCCACCTTCTGGACCATTTCGTTACTTCATGGTCTTACTAGATGCCTCATCAAGATGGTCTCATGTATGTTTGTTGTCATCACGTACAACTGCTTTTGCTAAACTCCTTGCTCAGATAATCAAATTGAGAGCACAGTTTCCTGATTATCCAATCAAGACCATCCGTCTTGATAATGCTGGTGAGTTCACATCTCAATCCTTTAATGATTATTGCATGTCAATTGGAATTGATGTTGAACATTCAGTTGCCCATGTTCATACCCAAAATGGCCTGGCAGAGTCATTCATTAAGAGATTACAATTAATTGCTAGACCTTTGCTTTTAAGGTCAAACTTGCCTATCTCTTGTTGGGGGCATGCCATATTACATGTTGCATCATTGGTGCGTATAAGACCAAGTTCTTATCATTCCTACTCACCATTGCAGTTGACTTCTGGCCAGCAGCCAGATCTCTCTCACTTAAAAATATTTGGTTGTGCGGTATATGTTCCTATCTCTCCACCTCAACGGACAAAGATGGGCCCACAAAGACGACTTGGAATTTACGTTAGTTTCGATTCCCCATCTATCATTAGATATATTGAACCATTGACAGACGACTTGTTTAAAGCAAGGTTTGCTGATTGTCATTTTGATGAGACAGTTTTTCCACCGTTAGGGGGAGATAAAATCCTAATTCCTAAAGAACAACGTGAAATTACTTGGAATGTACCATCTTTGTCTCACTTGGACCCACGCACGAATCAATGTAAACAGGAGGTGAGACGAATAATACATTTGCAAAATATTGCAAATCAATTGCCAGATGCATTCACTGATACAAAAAATGTGACAAAATCTCATATACCAGTTATTAACACACCTGCACGTGTGGATGTCTCAGATGAACAAAATAATGAAGCATTAAAACCTCGCATGAAGCGTGGACGTCCCCTTGGTGCGAAAGATAAGAACCCTCGAAAGAAAAGGGTACAAGAGATGAAGATCTCAAATGATAATAATATTTCAAATCAAGAAAACGTTAAACAAAATATGAATGATCAGTCTGAAATTGTTAAAGAAAAGACCTATGAAGAGGTACATGCCCCTGAAGAGGAATGTCTAGAAGGTTTTAGATCTGAAGAGATATCCCTAAATTATTTGAGTACAAAAGAGAGTTGGGATAGAAAAAAGGTGATCATCGATGACATTTTTGCTTATAGTGTTGCATTAAATATTACAAATGAGGATCCTGAACCAAAATCTGTAGAGGAATGTCGACATAGAAATGATTGGCCAAAATGGAAAGAAGCAATGCAAGATGAGTTAAAATCTCTAGAAAATCGTAAAGTTTTTGGACCTATAGTTCAAACACCTGAAGGTGTAAAGCCCGTTGGGTTCAAATGGGTTTTTGTGCGGAAACGCAATGAGAAAAAAATGAAATTTTCAGATATAAGGCAAGACTTGTTGCCCAAAGTTTTTCACAACGACCTGGAGTCGATTATGATGAGACATATTCACCTGTGGTAGATGCAATTACATTGCGTTATTTGATTACTTTAGTAGTCACAGAAAGACTTGACATGCGTCTTATGGATGTTGTTACAGCATATTTGTACGGATCTTTAGATAATAAGGATTCAAAATTCCTGAAGCATGCAATCAGAAAGCTCGTGAGTTATTCTCAATCAAGTTACAGAGATCATTATACGGATTGAAACAATCTGGTAGAATGTGGTATAACCGTCTTAGTGAATACCTTGTTAAAGAAGGTTACATAAATGATCCAATCTGTCCATGTGTTTTCATCAAGAAGTCTGAAGTTGGATTTGCCATCATAGCAGTGTATGTAGATGACCTAAACCTTGTTGGAACACCAGAAGAGTTAATAAAGACTGCAAACTATTTAATGAAAGAGTTTGAAATGAAAGATCTTGGGAAAACCAAGTTTTGTCTCGGCCTGCAGATCGAGCATGTATCGAATGAGATTTTTATCCATCAATCAACATATACGGAAAAGGTCCTAAAACGATTTTACATGGATAAGGCACACCCATTGAGCAGTCCCATGGTTGTTCGATCATTGGATGTAAAGAAGGACCCTTTTCATCCTCGAGAAGATAATGAAGAACTTTTAGGTCCGGAGGTACCTTATTTAAGTGCTATAGGGGCGCTAATGTATCTTGCAAATTGTACAAGACCTGATATAGCCTTTTCGGTTAATTTGTTGGCAAGATATAGCTCAGCACCAACACGAAGACATTGGAATGGTTTTAAACATATATTACGTTATCTTCGTGGAACAACCGATATGGGCCTGTTTTATTCGAAAGGTTCGGAATCACTAGTTGTTGGTTACGCTGATGCTGGCTATCTTTCTGACCCACATAAGGGTAAATCACAAAGTGGATATGTTTTTACTTGTGGTGGTGCTGCAATATCATGGAGATCAGTAAAGCAAACACTGGTTGCAACTTCGTCAAACCACTCGGAGATAATGGTGCTATATGAAGCAAGTCGAGAATGCATATGGTTAAGGTCAATGGTTCATCACATTCGAGAAACTTGTGGATTATCTTTGAATAAGGCTCCATCATTACTCTATGAAGATAATGCTGCTTGTATTGCACAAATTAAAAGTGGCTACATCAAAAGCGACAAGACAAAGCACATATCACCAAAATTCTTCTATCCACACAAGCTTCAGAAAAATGGAGACATTGAGGTTCGTCAGATACAGTCATGCAATAACCTTGCGGATTTATTCACAAAGGCATTGCCAACTACGACATTTAGGAAGATGATCAATGGTATTGGAATGCGTCAACTCAAGGATCTTTTGCCATGTCCAGGGGAGCATTATAAGCACTGTACTCTTTTTCCTTCGTCCAAGTTTTTGTCCCATTGGGTTTTTCTTGGCAAGGTTTTAACGAGGCAGTGTTTTTAAGCTCAAGTCTACCTAAATGGTGAACATCCAAAATCCAAGGGGGAGTGTTATGTACAAATGTCTTTTGATGTTCTCCATGTCTAAGTTAGACCTTTGCTTTTCCCATTTGTAAGTCTATAAATAGATGCTCCATATGTTGAAATGTGATATCCTTCTCCTTAGTCTATTGATCTCATTGCATTGTTTCTCCTTTGATTCTCCATTATACTTTGATCTTTGATTTGTGCTATCAAGGTATATCTCTATTACTTGTTCATAATGATATTCGTTTAATCTTTATTTTTAACAATTTTGCAGATTTTTTGGGCTTGGTATATTTCAATTCCGTTTTTGTGAATTTTTTTATTGAAATCTGGATATGTGTTCACCCCTGCTCCGCCATATCAAGCAGACTCCGTAGTACTCCTGAGTCCGGAGTACTCTATTTCAGTCTCCACCGGCTTCTTGTATTCTCCACCGGCAGGAGTTCTTGGTGCATATCTACCCAGCGATCACCCAGAAACCAGGGGATGGAGGCGGTGGTGGTGGATGCTGGTTCTAAATTCCTCAAATCTGGCTTTGCCATTCCTGACCAAGCTCCGTCCATGGTATTAACTCATCCTTTATCGGCCGCTTAATTATTACGAGTACTTTTGTATAGATTTTAAGCTTCTTTTTCAAACAACGTCTGAGACGTATGTGAATTCACGAACATGAGGGTTTTAGATAATTCCAACTCAAATGAAACGCGTCCCTGAGGATGAGAGCGCCCTTGATGCGGCGGTTGAGGAGTCCACGGAGGAGGAAGCTGTGAACCCTATTGTCCGGGGGTTCGTGAAGGATTGGGATGCTATGGAAGACTTATTGCATCATGTTCTTTACACCGGCCTTGGTTGGGAAATAGGAAATGAAGGCCAAATTTTGTTCACTGATCCACTTTGCACTCCCAAGGTAAACTATCCATTCCACCCAACCTCTGCCCTAGAAAAGTTTCTTTTTTTATTGCTTCCATCTCCTTCCACCTCCTCTCCCCAAAATATTTGCTTAAATTTGTTACGGAGTACTATAGATTTTAGAACTAGTGAGTTGTGGATTATGGAGTAATAAAATACTTTTTTGGATTAAAATTAGTTGTTAATGAATTGAGCAGAATGAAGGTTAAATTTTTTTTCTTTCGGATTGCAAATAAGTTCCACCTTTTTTAACATCATTATCTACTCACCCAAAGTTAGGCCTGAGGATTAATTTGGAGCACACAAGCACTTTGTGAAAGATTAAATCAGTTTGGACTTTAGATAACTAGTAATGTCAATATTTTAAAGCTATTACTCCCTTTGTTCCATTAAAAAAAGACTTGTTTCTCAACATATTATTTGTCCCCACAAAAGAGTCCAATTTGAAAAAAAGAATTAAGTTTTATTATATGCAATGTTTTTGAAATACAAAAAGTATTTCAAATAAGTTAAATATGTTAAATTTGATTCAACCAAGGAAAATAAAGTATATTTATACTTTGTATTTGATTATTTTCAAAAGCTGTACCTTAGTATAATTAAAAAGTTGCACATCTGCAAAATATGACTCTTTTTATGGGAATGGGGAGTATTGTTTAAATGTTCGGAATTTTAAATTGTTTCTTTCCTGATCGACAGGCAATTAGAGAACAGTTAGTGCAGCTGATGTTTGAAACATTTAATATCTCAGGGTTTTATGCCTCTGAGCAAGCAGTGCTGTCGCTCTATGCTGTTGGGCGTATATCAGGATGCACAGTTGACATTGGTCATGGGAAAATAGGTATCAGTTGTTTATTAGTCATCAAGTATTGTTTTCGTACATCAGAAAGGACTATCATCAAGTATTTCTACTACCAAAGGTTTTTACTGTTGTCTATAGCTAATCATATTTCCTATCTCGATGCATCCTTACATTCTTCTCAGATAATTGTGTGAGTATTCAGTTGGTTTTACCTCTTATCTTTCAGCACACTTCTAATTAAGAAATTTATAATTTTCAATGAGTTTCATAGGGTAGTACTTGTTTTAAGTAAAATACTTTCTTCCCCATCAAATATGATGTGCAATTACTCTATATAAGATACTATTTGGGAAAGTAGTTAAGTTTACTTGAGTTCCTGAAAAATATTATGACATTCCAATTTCATCCTGTTTTTATGTCTCGCAAATATATTTCTTTTATAAAATGCCCTCCGTCCCAAATTGATCTTCACAGATACTATTACGGCCTCTTGATAACTTATATTTGTATGCATGTTTTCATTGATCATTTGATAAAATAAAATATTCTTGTCACCTCTTATTTTGTAGAAATTTTGATGTAGTTTTGAACAATGTAATTTGTATTTTTTTATTTCTATACCAATTTGTAAATAAAATCATTTTAAAAGAGATGGGATTTTGCACGTTCTTCCAAATGGGAAGAATAAATTGGGACAGAGGGAGTATATATAAATGCAATATTTATTAGGTGCAAGCAACTAAAAAAAATTAATACATACTCCCTCCATCCCATATTTGATTACACACTTCGAAACACGTGTAGAATCCCGAGTCTTGTGAATTTATTTTATTTACAAATTGGTATACAAATAAAAAATACAACTTACATATTAAAAAACTACGTTAAAAATTCTAGAAACAAGAGGTGATAAGAATATTTTATTTTATCAAATAATCAATGAAAACACACAAATAAACAAAAGTCATTGAGAAGCCAAAATAGTAACATGGTAATCAATTGTGGGACGGAGGGAGTACTATGTAGAAATAGAACAATGCCTCACGAAAAGGACCTTTGTGTAGTCATATAAAAACTCTTTAGAATAAGGTCTAGTGGAAGTATTATCTAGGCTTTTAACTGATTATTAGAGATGCACTGACATTGGTACTTCATACTTCTTGGAGTTAATGCCAATATATTTGGAGCAAAAAATATAACCCTTTTTTTCGTTATACTTTTTAAATTGTTGTTTTTAGCGGTAGCTTATATGTGACTACAGATATTGCACCGGTAATTGAAGGTGCTGTTCAGCACCTAGCTTCCAGAAGGTTGGAACTTGGTGGTGCAGATCTGACACAGTTGCTAGCAGAAAAACTCAGTATATCAAATCCAATGGTGAAATTCAAGATGTCAGATGTGGAGAAGATAAAAGAGCAATATGCATGCTGTGCAGAGGAAGACATTTCGTATGATAAGATGCAACAATCTATTCTGGAAGAGGAACATATACTACCCGATGGCCAGGTTTTCTTTGATGATGATGATGATGATGATGATGATGATAATAATAATAATAATAAAAATAAAAATAATAATAGTAATAATAATAATCATGATAATAATAATAGTAACAACAACAACAACAATTTTTTTGAAGGGCAACAACAACAGCAACAATAATAATAATTGTAATTATTAATATTACTACTAGCATAATTATTACTACTGCATATTGTTTTGTTGTTGTTGGTGCCTGGTGATGGCGGTGGTGCTTCTATGTGTTCAATACTTCCTGCAAAGCTCAACACTTTCTGCTTTTTATAATACATCTAGGTCAAAGTAGACTTAAAGTTAAAAATAATTTGAGTAATGTAAAATTTTAAGTTAATAATTCTCTCTAATCTTTAATGTATAATGTAAAATGTGATTTGCAGATTATGTACATTAAGTAGGTATGCAGTTCTTCTTCTACTATATGGATGACTTAAACTATGACATCCATTTCATTGGTTTAGACATTTAGTAATTGTATTCCCTCGTGCTTGATATATTGCTGTCCACTGTATCCATGGCCATGCTATAGTTTACGTAATTGAACTGCCATTGGTTGACATGCACCCCCATTTATCTTTCCTTACAGAGAATCCATGTAAAGCAACCAAGGTATCATATGTGAGAATGGTAAAGAAACCAAGGTATCATATATGCAAATGGTTCAGTGGCTATTGGAAATTTGGAATTTGAGATAAAATAAGTAAGAACCGATTACGTTGCTTTGGGCACATCAGCCATCGAGAAGCAAGTGTCACGGGAAGAAGATGGAGTCTTAGAATGTTTGAAACTTAATGAGGCATAATAGGCCACACATGACATGGCGTGAGGGTGTAAAAAGAGATATTAGAGTGTTGGAGTGCTGTCCCCATTGCCTAATATTCTGCTTCTGCGCCAGTATTTTTAAAGGTTTGCCATGGTGGAAGGTGGTGACAAGATCAGGGATGGAGGTGGCTTTCCAGGGCTTTCCATGCCAGCCATTTGTCTGGCAGTTAGAGCAGTTTAGGCAAAAAATGACAGAGTTTTAGGGTTTGGGTTGTGGGACCCTGTACTAAAGATTTTTATGTAAACATTTAGGCAATGCAACCCACTCCAGAAGGCAAACCATATAAATCCACTTTTTATCAAGTACATTCTTCGTTGTGTCTTTGTGTCAACAACTATTTTGCACAAGCCCTCCTTTGATTCTATTCCCTGTGATCAGGCCCATGATTCTGCTTCTCTGTGTGACGTAGATGAATCCTTCGGTTCTTCTTATTTAAAAGGTGCATTGAAAACTTTCAAAGCATTTGGTTTGAGGCATCTATAATTGCTGGGTGTAGTTTTTCCCACCATTTCCTTAATTACTCTTGGAACTGGACTTTTTGATTTCTTGCTTGGTCCTATTTCTTCTATCAGGTTTGTTCAGACTCAAATCTTTATAGTTTTTACTTGACTCAAAATCCTTCCTTTTTAATCTTAATATTTTGTTGTGTTATTTTTACCTTCTTTGATGCATGTTGCTCTGCTTCCTTTACATGGTAACTTAATTGGCCTTTATTGGAAGAAGAGCAACATGCATAAAAGAAGGTACATAAAACAGAATGAAAAAGATTAAGATTAAAAAGGAAGAATTATAGGTTACCTTTACAATTGGGGTAGGGGTAAGGCTTGCGTACACACACCCTCCCCAGACCCTACTCTCGTGGGATTCTACTGGGGTATTGTTGTTGTAAGTTACCTATACATCATATCTACCTGTCAAGATGTCATCTAGGAAATGAAAAAGACATACACAATCATCATTGTCTTTTGTCAAAAAAATTTAAAGGGTATGAACAAGTAGATCCAAGCAACAATTAGTGAGAAATCACTAAATGTCTTAGCGAAGCTAGAGAAGAACTTTGAATATATGGGACAGAAGAAAGAAGAAGAATAACATGGATATTGGAAGTGTGAGACGTTCTGATTTTGAGTAGCTAGCATTTGATGAGAGTGATCAAGAGCTCTAATCTTTAACACCTAATAGTGATTGGAGGAGAAAGAATGCACCCTAAAAACTGGCTATTTGGTCTATTTCCAGATAACGTGAAATTGAAACTGCAATTACAAGTAAAAGTTGTAACAAGGCAAACATTAGAGATGCAAATGAAAGGAAGCGAAACTAGCACTATGTTTGGCTCAAGGATTTTGGAAGGAAAATAAAAGAATATGGTTTTCTCTCATTTTCCTCACCAAAATGGAAGGAATTTGGTTTTCCCTCCACTTGGTACATTTTGCCTCCTCATTTTCTTTTCCTTCCACTTTTCCTTTCTTTTCCCCTCTAACCAAACAAGAAAAATGGTTTTCCACTTCATTTTCTTTTCTTTTCCTTTTCAAATTCCTTGAACCAAACAGAGTGTAGGGGATTCATCAGTATTTTGCTTGTTTTATGGTATCTAGATTGTTTATCCTTCGACTTGATTAATTTTCATAAGTTTTGGAGATATGGGTACTACTCCCATTGGTGCCTATCATTCACATTCTCTTCATAGTCATGATTGTATAAGAGCTGGAACATACTGAAAACATATTGACAAATCACAAATCATAAAGAACAGCAAATTGCAGGTTAAAAGGTGGTTAGCAGCAAGCTGTGTGCACGGCCCAGTGAAGTTGACAACTTTATCTTTCATATGAATAATGGAAAACAATTTTTTATAGCTTTCTTTGTTGTGGAATTAATTTATACTCCCTCCGTCCCTCAATTTATGTCCACTTTCATTTTTGCACCAAAACCAATGCAAAGGGTAAAAAGTCACAAATGCCCTTTGTTTTGGGTCTTCTTCTCCACCAGCCCTTCTGCTACAATTAGTTTATGCACAACCCATAGCAATGGCCACCACCATGTCTCCCCCAGTCTGATCGCAGGGGCATAGCCCCCCTCCCATCCCCACCCCCTGTCAGAGTACCCATTCCAAACTCCAACTATTTACTGCCGAGCTACTGCGACCCAAGAAACCTAGTTCCAATTTTGAATTCCCAATATGGCCTGTGTCTAGCCTCCCCTTTTGACCCGGTTGCTGTCGCATAATCCATTGCAACTCCTATCCGCCCACCGCCGCGTAGTCCATTGCTGCACAACCCATCCGATCAAATTGCTGCCAAGACATTGTTACAACTTACAAGGAGATCCGAGAGATTTGCAGAAGCACATGAATACATATGCAGAAGTAGATGAAGAAGAAGACAGTGGCATAGCTCAAAACAAGGATTGGATTGAAGCAAGAATGCAAGATTGATTATATCTAGGTGATGAAATATATGGGTGGATGACTGGATGTAAATAAATCAATAAATATATGGATGAGAAAGAAGATAAGGCGTAAATGAGTGTTTGTGGAAAAGGGCAAAATTGACACTTTATTGAAATTTTTTTACTAAAAAAGGGAAGTGGACAAATATTGTGGGACGATCCAAAAAGGAATATTGGACGAATACTCAGGGACAGAGGGAGTAATAATTTATTTTGCCTTTCCACTGCTTTGTAAGATATACCTCTTGACTGGGTTTTCTTTAACAATCCATAACACAATTACTCTAACAATGAAAGCTATTACTTGGAGACTGAAGCATCATTCAAAAATTAAGGCATGGTGGTAATTTGTTTTTAGTGTAAACTTCTAAATTTCTGCCTCAAAGGATGATGTCTAATTCTCTACTTTTTGTTTGTCACCATCACCCGGATGATTTTGAATTTACACTTTTTTCATATCTTTATTAATACGGAGTATATAAATATGTCCTTGGTTTTACACATTTATGACACATTAACCCATGGATGTTTTATTTTCTGCTTGCTCTTTAGCATGCCCTCATACTGTTCATTTCTTTTGTGTAGCAATGAAGTTATTTATAGTGTCTATAATCTCTTTTAGGTTATCAAAATTGGGAAAGAAAGATATACTGTTGGTGAGGCCTTCTTCCAGCCCTCTATTTTGGGATTAGGAACACATGGAATTGTTGAGCAACTTGTTCATAGCATTTCAACGGTATCTTCTGAGCACCACCGCCAACTGCTAGAAAACACTGTGCTTTGTGGGGGCACTGCTTCAATGACTGGTGGGTTCCCTTTCTCATTCAATGCACTTATTCAAGTTTTCACTCTCTGGATAGCTTACTTTTAGTTCCCTATAGTTCCCCCCTGCCTCCCTCTCCAATTTTTACTCGTTCATTGCGCACATGTTATTGTTTTGGGGTTAACTGTTGTAGGGTTTGAAGATCGATTCCAGAAAGAAGCTAACCTTTGCTCATCGGCTATCAGCCCCTCTTTAGTAAAGGTAGTCTTGTGATGTTAAAATGCATTGTACTTTTAGGTGTTTTCTGTAGCCAATATCCCCACCTAAAATTGGTGTATTGTGATTGGGTTGGCATCACATCATGATAGATTTTTTATGCAATTATCATATCAGCACCTTTAGCATCCTCTTTAATCATCATCATCATCATCACGGTGTGCTTAAGATTTTGCTCTCGGTATTGCAGCCACCAGAGTACATGCCAGAGAACTTGAATATGTATTCGGCATGGGTGGGTGGTGCGATACTCGCAAAGGTTGTCTTCCCTCAAAACCAACACATCACCAAGGCGGACTATGACGAAAGTGGACCTTCCATTGTTCACAAGAAATGTTTTTAGGGAATATATATATATATATATATATATACACTGACTTGTGTAACATAGTCTGTTGTGTGGCTGAAACCAAATGTGATCTTGATCAACGTAGTAGTACGGACCACTGCAAAGTACTGTAGTATTATTTATTTTCTTAAATATAAATCTTCAATGTGGTAGGCTTGTTGTAGCTTATACTGATGTTTAAATGATACTCGTAGAAGTTATTGCTTCTGAAATGATCTATTGCATTGATGATTTTCATAAGTGAAGAGGCACTGTTATGCTGAAATTTGTTCCTCGCTTTGTTAACTTTTGTCCAAAAAAACTTTTAAGTGTGCTTCTTGTTTTTTTTTTGTTTAAATTGAAAAAAAAAGAATGAAAGAACATGAACATTTGGAAGGTTCCAAGTGGATTTGGATATAAAAAGCCTTAGATACACCGATCTCCCACTCTTCATGTTGTACTCTTAGGGCTTTTTAATCATGGGATGAGGTAGAACTATGGAATAGAAAAATTAATGACACGCTTATTTTGTTCATTTGGTTTGGAAAAATTAACTTTTACGGAATAACTTTTTCCAACTTATTTTAATTTCTTCTAACACTTTTTAGTTACTTCTAATTTTTTCTAATGTTTTTCAACTCATAGTTTCTTTCAACAACTAAAAAAAGTATTTACATATGAAAAATATACTATCATCATACATTTAAATTTAGGAAAAATTCACACGAATACTCCAAGAAATTTGTAATTTTAGGTTAATATTTCGAAATTCAATAATTTACACTACTCTAGGAAATTGGTCAATTTTATACCAATAATCCGGGCTGTCAACTATGTAGAATATGTTTCATTTAAAAAAAAAGAGTTTTAAAATTATTAAGGGGCTGTTTGTTTCAGCCTCTCAATGGTTCAGATGTCTGAATGGTTCAGCACTTAATAGTTCAGACTGTTTGTTTCAGCCTCTTAATGGTTCAGATGTCTGAATGGTTAATAGATTTGCCTCTGAATGATTAAGTATTATACAGAGTCTGAATGTTTAAGACCTCTTATCTGAATTGATCAGACATTTGCCTCTGAATAGTTAAGCAATATACTAGCTCTTAATGGTTCAGACCTCTTACTGGTTCAGCACTTAATGGTTCAGACCTCTTACTGGTTCAGCACTTACCGATTCAGAAGTTGCCAAACAGCCTCTAAGTATGTGTTGGTAACTACAGAGTGCTAACAAATAAAAGAAAATAATATTTCAGACAAAATAAAGAATGTGAAGTAGATATTTCATAATCGAATTTATATTCGTAGGAAAGATTTTTGAAATATAAATTTAGCACTATATCAACTTTGAAATTTTCTAATATTTTATTCATAATTTACCAGATTAAAATATAAACACTTTATTTTACATTTTGAACACATTTTTATTTTAAATCGACATGGAAGGGGTAATTATAACGCATTCAAGATATTTTCTTTATTTTTGAAATTAATTACCAACTCATATTTAATAATTGTTCAGTCACCATATATTTAAAATGTCATATATTAGCAGCTTGGGGTATTGGTATAAAATTGAGTAATTTCTAGGAGTAGTGGTGTGAATTATTAAATTTCAGAGTATTAACGTAAAATCACAAATTTCTTGGAGTATTCATGTGAATTTTTCCTTAAATTTATAACATACCATCTCAAACGCGAAGAAAGATAAATTTTTTTTGTTCAAAACTAGTTTTCTTACATATTTATTTAGGTGATTATTTAATTGAGTGATTTTTTTAACACCATTTTTTCAACATTTGTCAACTTCTAATTTTCTAAGTCCTTTCGAATTCATTAATGGTATGTTTGGGAACATGGATTTGGATTTCAAATCCGGATTTGGCTCAAATTCCATGTTTGGAAACTTACAAATTTTGAATTTGGATTTGAATCAAATTCTTCTCATTCATAACAAAGCTTAATTTTAAATCCAAGCAACTCCCCTTGTCATTTGAAATTCAAGATTTCAAATTTTGGAATTGAAATACATGAATTGAAATGAAATCTTAGTTGCCAAACACTACCTAAGAGCATTTGCAATGGCAAGGAAGATGGATGCCTTGCACTGCCACATCAGCTTCTTCCACTCATATCATGGCATGGCAAGGCCAAAATGCTTTGCTTGGTGAGGCATGAGTGTGGCACTTCATACTATTTTTTTCTTTTTTTTTAAAATAAATTTTTTTAAATTTTTTTATGAAAAAAAATGTACAAGAAAGTAGAATAATTTTTTAATAAAATAAATAATAAAAATATTTTTTATGTTTAAAAAACATAAAAAATGTAAAAAAGTGATAAAAAATAATGACTTGCCATTGTAGGACTTGCCACTCCATTTACTTGCCACACGCTGACTGGACTATTTTTGATTGGTTAAAATGTTCCATGTCACCGTGTGACATTCCATTTTCGCCTTGCCATTGTTGATGCTCTAAATTCTTTCCCGTTCTATTAACTTCTTCTAACATCTAACTCTGTTTTTTAATGCTTTGTACTATCTTGAGGTATGTCTAAAAGATGACACAAATTCTAGACGCATTGGAATTACAGTAATTTGCTTAAAAAATGGTAATGTTTCCATATATCTGTATTGATTGAGTCATCATATGTACATCAGATTGTTCACTGATTCTATTACAAGTTGGATGATCCATCATCTCCTACTACGACTACTACCACTTCTTTACCGAGCAGTGAAACTGAACAACAAAATGTTGTTTCTCTCTCCTACAAAAACAATAAAAAAAAGAGGGAAGAGGGAGGGGGGAATTGTGTGTCTATCTACGGATCTCCTTGTGGTGGTATATCTTTACGAGACTATCATTTGCTTGTACTCATGACTGCACAAAATGTTGTTAGACGAATTGGATTTATTAGTTTGCACTGCTGTGTGTGTGTGTGTGTGGAAGGTCAAGTGGTAGACACTTCACCAAAGATATTTTGGCAGGACCCCCAGTTTCCCTTCTCTCTGGCCTCCCAATACCCACCATTGTACCTGTATCCATCACTGGCTTTCGAAAACCATTTAGGTTCCCATCCACTCTCTTGCATCTTAACTGCCTGTATTATTATTATATTGAACAATAACATCATTTTTGTTTGTTTGTGTGTTACGGAGTACTACCCACTCAAAATATAAAAGGGGAATATCACCTGGCGCTGCCTCTGCTCCAAACGCAACTTTTCTGAGTTGGCCAATTCGTACTGACCATTTTCAAGAAACCTTTGATCAGGCCTGAGCCTTGAATCTGTTGGCGGCAATTTCTCCTGATTGTACCACAACTTCATTATTACTCAATTGGACCAATACTATTTTATCAAATGAATCATGCCAATAGCATGTATATATCGTCACGTGTTACTGCTAAGTGCATAACAATGCCGTGGATTTTACCTTTAGCCCCGGAGTCAATTCATTAAGTGTGATTGCGAAATGAGTGAAGTTGTATTTGCTTTTGCATTTTGGTGGCTTGTTTCGCTTCCACAGCAGATGAGAATCTGACATTGGAACCGATCGTTTCTCTTTCACTGAACAATCCTTTTGGCAGTAATGTATGCTCTGGTCCCATTTCCCGAAAAGTGTTGCTGCTGGCTTCCCATTATTTTCTACAACTCCATGTACCTTTCATATTAATTAATTAATTAATACATAAATAACTGAAACAAAGACAATATCCAGTGGTGGCTTTGAAGTTTGAGCTAGAAATGAAGAAGATCCAACATGACTCCCAAACCACCATTTAAGTGGTTCGAGAAAACAACCTACATACTGGGGCAGCCTCATCTGTCTCCTTGGGACTTAAGTAAAAGTGTATGCCAAATTTCTCGTCATCTTAAGACACCATTTTCTCTTCTTAAGAAATAGGAAAGATTGCCAAGAACGAGTGATACAAGAAGAAAGAATATCATTGCACCTGGTGAGGATTTCGATCAATGAGAGAACGCTCCTTAAACTTAAGCTTGCAGGAGTAGTTACGATTTCCTTGAATAGACATGGTTCCATAATGATCACAGTAAACTTTTCCTAGAATGAGGTTGTATATAGAAGTTGTTACCTGGAGAGAAAGGCCAAAGTTCCATCAGGCATAGCAAGAAATATATGAAAATGGTATTTAGTGATGTTGAGATACCTTTCTCCACTTAAATACTTCTCCATCATCAAACTCCAATGTCAGTACACCAAGAGGGTCAAGCTGAATGGATCTACCCCAAAACTTACTCTTCAAATTGCAATCCGCCCATATTTTCCATCCACGCCCTTCACAGTGGAATGCAAGGATCATTGGGTGATGACTAACCTATGTTTATAGGGAAAGAGAGTGTTCAAGGTTTCTTAAGAAAACAATGATCCAAAGGATGAAGAGAACAAACGATTCCATCTTTCCTTTCTTCTCTTGTCCTTTTCATTTATTTTTTCTTGATGACAGATAGCAGCGTCAAAAGAATTTTCATTGAATGGCAATCATTACCTTCTCTGAGATAAAGCGGATCCCTTTGTCTTGGTAATCAGCTTCATAGGTCTCGCCAAGTAAAGGATTAAATGGCTTGCATTGTCTTTCATCAGTGGAAGCATATCCAGATGCAGCAAATGCTGCTACTTTAAGCATCCTCATAAAGCTATTACCCTATAACAGTAACAAGGTTGTGATTCCACACTACAAATTTCATATAATATGTCATGCCTATAAATTCATGATAGTGATATGTGCAAGTATACAGGTTGTTGCGTAAATCTGGTCATCATTTTTTCAAGTAAAGATTCGAAGGAGAGCTGAGTCTTAGACATTCGATCACACATTTCTACAGAGTGTTCTCGTGCTTTATTCTTTTTTCCTTTAAATTTGAGTATTTTATTAATTAGATTCATAAACATGATAAACTTATGAACTGGTAAGTACATGTATTCTTATTGCATGAAAGGATAGATACGATAGATGAGGAAGTGCATTTACGAAAGCGATATATGTGGAGGTGCATTTACGAATGCAAAACCAGATCTCTATGGCTCGGTTTCAGACTTAAATTCAAGATTTATTTTATTCCCATGTGAAAGTTAACAATATGACAACTTTACATGCTAGTAGCATAGTAGGGTAAGTAATTGAGTTCATTTTAAAAATAAAAATACAAAATCCGGAAAGCTAGAAACATTCTCGTGGATGTCTGGTTTGATAATGTCTTAGAGGTCTAGGCTACTTAGATGGGTTATTGTTCATTAGTTTGTACATGCTCAAATGGGAAACTAATGCCTAAAGATAATTATTGAGGTCAGACTTAAGTGGTAGTTTCAAACTTCCCAACACAAATGAATTCAGTTAACTAACTTATTCATTAAATGACATTCCTAGAAATATGAATTCAGTTAACTAACTTCCCAACACAAAACTACAAGAGGACAGTACTTAATTTTTGGAAGAAAAATATTTCTAAATAAAGGCAGCACAGCCAAAAGGTAATGAAAGCAGAAAAAATAAGCTTTGTTTCATAAATGGATTTTTAAACTTTTCAAAACTCTGTATTTTTTCTAGTTGGATAGGTATTCTCAAATAAACTTACCACTTTTCCTGATTCGTATGCTTGATCAAGAAGGTAAGAGTATTCAAAATCTTCAAAACATTTCTGCAGAGAAGAAAGTGGTTCATTGAAATACACGGGAAGACAGACTTTAGTCAGATCCTTCCCGATGTTATCTTTGATCATTGACCACAGACTTGCTCCCTTCTCTTCTTCGAGGGGGTCCGGCAATTTATTTCTACGTTTCACATAAGGATATTTATTTTCGACTGATATTCCATCTTCAGAAGGATGAGTCTCTTCATCGTCAGAATCACATAATGCTTTTTTATCACCATTGCCCTGTGCTCTAAATGAATTTGAAGAAAGAAAGTCTCGAGCATCAGCAAACATGTCATCATCATCATCACCATCACTTTCTTCCTCTGCAACATGATGCCTATCATGTTCATCATCTGATTCATTCACGCTTCCTTCTGAAATTATTTCACAAAACCAAGAAGAAACCAATTGGGTTAGAACACATTTTTCAAAAGGATTCCAAGGCCATATATAGTCATTATATTGAAAGTCTAAAGTGCTGATTTGGCGTTGGCACTGTCATACTTCGTGAACTTGTATGCTTCCCAAATGTACCTCTATCACAACATAAGGAAACAACCACACAAAGCATGCATCACGGTGCCAAATTGAAAAATATCTATAAAGCTAAAGATAGATACAATATTTCATCATGTTCGATTCAACAACAAATCCAGCTCACTCTGTTCCAATTTATTGTGCATTTTGTTTGTGGTTTGTCCCAATCTATGGTGTTTGTTTTTATTTATAGAAAGTAATATGTGGTTCATACTTCATAGTGTTCCTTTCACCCAGTTGTCAATTTATTAATCCCTATGCATTGTAAAATAATAGGTAGAACAAAGAGAGTATCTAGGAAATTTTGAAAACCTAAATAATTTTTCCGAAGTGGAGATACAACAAAGAAACCTAAAGAACGGTTTTACATGGATAATGGGTGGATGAAATGGAAACTTTCCTTTAGTTTCTTTTCTTTTAAGACACTAAAATCTCAGTTTTATTGTTTTAATAACATTCATTTTGAAAACTCCCTTCTGGAAACGAGGATATTGTGTCCTTTTGGGGAGCTTCATCTATGCCTCTCTACTTCCGAGTAGGGGTATGGTCTGCGTACACACACCCTCCCCAGGCCCTACCTCCGTGGGATTATTGGGTTGTTGTTGTTGTTGGGGAGCATTTATCTTATTCTTCTAAGGATTCCCTTGTGCAATTGAAATCAAGAGCTTTTCTTGAGATTTAGTTTCTCCTTTTCTATCCCTTGATATTAGTTTAGTCATTTCTAACTTAATTTCTAGATGCTACAGCCCTTCCTAATCTGTGTAGCTTTAAATGTCAAAAGTGAGTTACCTACTGAAATGAAAGCTTTAGATGTTCTTCCAAACAGAAAATATGCGATATAAATGACCAGTTGCACATATGTAGAGGCCTTAGAGTAAATTATGATACAAGACAAACCATAAGACCAAATTCAAACATCAAACAGCTCCAAATAGAAACCATTCCAGCAGGACATATAAAAAAACCTTGTACCAAAGAACAAGAAATAACTAATAAAACAGGAGAGTAAAATCATGGTATCATACACTATCAATATGTTAACAAATTGTACCTCTAAATTTGTCCTGGAAAAAGGAAGTGTTTGCCTGTCTTTGGCTCTCATCCACAAGCGTGTTCTCGAGGTCAACTTTCTCGGCCTGTGGTGAGTGAACCAAATGTTGTTCAACGATCATGTTTAAATAAATTTACAAATCTGGCACTTGTCTTAGAATTATCTAAATGCAGTTATATTTAGATGATTACACGTAGTTCCCTTTGTATAGATGGCTAAACAGTTTAAGGAGAGGCATCTAGATCTGTAAGGTTGAGGATTCAACTCCCCCTTTCCATATTAGGAGAAAAATCTTCAGTCCACAAAATGAAGTTCACGTGCACTGCCAGCACTGATGCATATAGACAGATCATCTATCTAGTATATAGTGAGTGTGTGTAAAAGTCTTGCAAGAGTCTAGGTTCCTAGAAAGTTTTCACTGGTACTCCAAATGACCAAAAGATGAAACTCCATACTTCCAGCTTCAAAACGTTGAGGGAATATAGCTAATTTTCTATGACCCTTTGGAGGGGGCAGCTTCTAGTCAACAATAAATAGGGATACCTAAAGTAGTGTTTTTCTCCCAGATACAAAAGCAACTGCAAATCCAACCCAAGTGCTGCGAGAGCTCGGTGTGCACTGGAATGGTGGCCAATAGTCTAAGACCTGAGGTAGTTTGTTGGCCTAGATATCTCGGAAAGTGATTCCCATACTTGATAATGTCTTTGACTTGAGAAATTTTGCTCAAATTCCTCAAGGGCAAAATATCGTTTTCTCTGGAAACTTGGAAAGTACACTTTCTTTTGACTACTTCCTCAAGAGCTCAAATTACAGGGAAGTGACAAACTTACCACTTACGGGTCATCAAAGAAACATTGCGCACTTACAACAGAGCTACAAGAGTGCACAATAGGTCAAACATCTTAACTCAATACGTATAAGCAAACTTGCACACAACTCTTACATCCCTTGTCTAATGCACACATTTGTATATCTTAGGCATGAATGTCGAAGCCAACAAAAATTAATGCACGTTTTGACAAGAAGCACGTGAAAAGTTATCCACTCTAGACCAAAGTCAGAGACATTGTCCCACAACTACAAATTCTGCACATGTGAAGCAACCGCATTCATAGCTTCAATAGTAATTAGCAGTTTTTCAGGATTCATGCCAACAATGAATTCATCTAGCTGCTCAGCATATGTTCAGCAATGGGAATGAAGTAACGAGATGAGCAGATTAAATAATTGCTGTACCAAGCAGAGAAATGATGTTCAGTCCCATACATACCTCCAATTGCCGCACTTTGTCAATCAGCTGCAGCTCTTTATGTTTGAGCAGTAGTAAATCTTTGTGCCAAGATGCAAACTCACCACGCATAATCTGCTCAATGTCCTGAACCGCAGCTTCACAAACGCCCTCCTGCGTCAGGCGTTTACGGAGCTTCTCAGTTGACATGGCCATATTCTCATTCATTTGAGTTATCAGAAGTTCCTCATTTGGCATCCGAGGAGACATCTCTTTTGCTGCAACCAATGCTACCACCCATGAAATTCGATCCTCCCTGGTCTCCGCCCTCAAATGCAGTGTCCTCATCCCAGTATATAATGAAAACCTCCGATCGTCTGATTTACTTTCCCTCACAGAAGACACCTATAATCACATCACTAGTTAGAGCCAGATTCGCTAGAATCAATCATGAAAATTAGCGCCTACGTTGCGTAACATTGTGAAAATATGCCGGGTTTTGCTGGTAGGAACAATAAAGGGAATATGAAAATGTCAATTCCATGGTGATTAATTGATACATGCCTACTCAGGAGATGATTAACTCATTTTCCCTGCCACTTCATAACGTTGGTGTACCTTTAACGGTCAATTTCTCATCAACCATCTTGAGCAAGTGAATATGCAAAATTTATCTTCTAGAACCGGAGAAATCATTCGATTCCAATCCATTTTACCCAGTCAAAATCGTACGTGACACCAACTCAAAATTAAAATTCAAAAAAATGAAAACTCAAAGCCATTTTTGTGTTGTTTTCCAGAATTTAAAGCAATGGAAATAAAATTCGGCGTACAATAACCTGAAGGTGGATTGCACCACAGGGTTTGCGGCGGAGGGACTTGGAAGAAGATGTGATATGTGAACTATTGATTCTGCGGAATGATTTCTTGCCGATAACCACAGAGCCTCTCTCCGTCTGCTCATTGGTGACAATCTTACGAGGTCCGTGAATTTTGTAATAGGAGAGGACGCCGTCGTGGAGGACGAACCAGCGCGGCCGCCATCCCCTCCCGTAATTCACCCATTTGTACAGTATGCCGGAGAATCCGTTCCCGGCCGTCTGGCTAATCTTCACAGCGGGAAGCGGATTCAGAGGAGACGAATCCCGGTGGCCTTCAGAGACGGAGCGAATTTTGAGCTGAGCACGCCGCCAAGGCGTGGAGGCCTCCGGCGATGGCTGCGGGGACATGCCGATGAGCGTCGCCAACGGCGAGCGTGGTTTGGGAATCGCTACAGGATTTTTGGCGGGTGTTGTATCGCAGCAGAGGGAATGCATAAGCTTTGGAAAGAAGGAGAGGAGGAAAGGAATCATGTAATGATGAGATTGCGAGAAAGAAAGAAAGAGGCTAGGGAGATCTATCGATCTCTAGTCAAATACTCCAATAGAAATTTGTGCGTGGCGATTTACCTGAAAAAACGGTTTCTTTCAAATATATTGTGGTTGCCTCGTTTAACTTTTCCCTTTGGGTAAATTAATAATTATTACTGCATCCTTTCCCACGCTTTCTTTTCTTTCTTTTATCATTTCAAATTTTTTTTGTTATGAAAGCCATAAAGACACGTAAACCTTTTGATATATTAGTATGATATTAAATATTTTATTAAATTAGATTTACATAGATGAGAACAAAATTTTAATGTGAAATTTGCACTAAATAAAACTAAAACATAATGATTTTCCTAATGTAGGACTTAAACTTTTTTATTCTCTAAATAGGACTTAATAATGACCTAGTGGGAGAAATAATGTCTAGTACTGATGGACATTTAGTTGAATAATGACTACTTGATAATGACCAAACGTCCTACATTGGGAAATACTACCTCCGTCCCACTCTCTTTGTCCACTTTTGACTTTTGGAACTGTTCATCTAGGCACTTTGACTCATCAAATTTTCTCAATGAGTAAGCCTAAATATAGTCATGTGTGATCTTGTTTGATTTGTCTTAACATATAGATTATTAATATATAATTTCTATAATTTTTTAATATACAAATTACAAGATAAAATGAATTAAAGAAGTGCATTGGATGATGTGCCAAAATGTAAGTGGACAAAGAGAGCGGGACGAAGGAAGTAAAAATATATGGTCCTATATTGGGAAAGTCATTATGTTATAGTCCTATTTAGGTAAATTTCTCAATTTTAATAGACTAGAGGTATGAAGTTTATGTTCACTCAACGATATAACAAATTTCATAACAAAGGTCCGGAGGCGATGTTCCTAGTAGTGGGGTCCTAGGGGACATAAAAGAAAATAATTATTTTGGATATTATTCCTAGCCTTTAACTTCTTTAGATGACTTTTGTTTGATTTTTATTTATAATTTAATAAAATAAAATATTTTTGTGGTCTCTTAAATACAAAAAGTATAGTAATTTTATGTTGGAGGACCTATATTTTTAGGCCAGACAATAATTTTATGTCCGGGGAATTAAATAATTTTAGAAAGATGAAATTTTACACCTTGTTTAAAATAGGACAATAAATTTATGTCGGTGAAACTAAATTTTTAGTTGTTTTTCCGTGGTCTTAAGGTCCACATGTAGATATTTTTACACTTTTCATGGGTCGTCAAGTGGATTTTAGGCTCAATTTTTTACGATATCAATACATTAAAGTTCATAAAATGAGCATAGATAGACCTTAGGATCACGGAATAATTTTCCAACTTTCTTTAAAACAAAAAGTACTTAATGTAGTACTTTTTTTAACACTAACAGCTCCATATACATTTGAATACAAAAAAAATACGGAGTAATAGATTTGAAAACAAAATTAGTAATATCTTTGTTCGAGAATATTTGTCCACTTTTGATTTTACTTGATTGGAAAACTTTGACTATAAATTAAAGAAAAATAATATTAGATATTGATACAAAATAACTTATACTTTCGCTGTTCTCAAAAATACTACTTGTTTCATTTTTTTCAACTTTCAACAAAATACTTTCACTTTCATTTTTTTCAAATTATTCGTTTATCCATGGATGATGTGATTGAACCTGGAAACTACTGGAACTCTGCTTTAGTCTGCTGCATTTTAGGAGCAAATCCTCCATTGGATATAATAAAAGGATTTCTATCTAGAATATGGAAAACCTATGATATTGAGGACATATCCTTCTTAAAGGAAAGTCAATTCATTGTTAGATTTGCTAAGGAGGAAGACAGAGATGAAATCCTCAAACGTACCTACTATTTCATGGACAATAAGCCTGTTTACGTACAGAAATGGTATCCAGGATGCAAAGTGGATGTAATGTCTCGTAAGGATATACCTGTATGGGTACAATTCCTAGAACTGGAAATGAAATACTGGAGTTTAACAGGCCTAAGCAAACATGGAAGTGCTATAGGGAAGCCAGTGAAAAGAGACAAAGCCACAGCGTCTAGAAGGAAATGGTCTTATGCTAGAATCCTAATAGAGGTACAGGTTAATCAAACTTTTCCTGACCAAATCCACTTCCTGAATGAAGAGGGAAGAATTATCTCCCAGTCTGTGAAGTATGAATGGGCCCCTTTTTTATGCTCCCATTGCAACAAAATTGGGCATGAAATGATAAACTGTAGAAAGAAGAACCCTCCTACAGATGCTCCAAAAAAGCCAAAATATATTTGGAGACCAAAGGATACTAAGAATGAAGAAAAGGTTGCTGAGGCCATTAAACCAACTCCTGTGCAAGTCCATACTGGTCCACAAAACAGCAAGGAGTTTGTCAGTAATGAGGAGGAAAGATTCATAGAGGTTAGTAAGAAGAAGGCTGCAAGGAGATTTTCCCTGGACAGCAGTGATATATATCTGGAAGGAATACATGGTGATCTTAGGTTGGCCCCCTATAAGGGGCACCGTCTTTTTTTGCAATGATTGGATGTTGGAACATTAGAGGGCTAAACAGCCCTAATAAACAGTATGAAGTAAAAAGTATCATTAAGCAATATAATATTTGTTTATTTGGTATACTGGAGACAAAAATAAGGGATGAGAAGTATAATATAGTAGCTGATAGTATGTTTGTGGGATGGAGTTCTTACATCAACAATAAAGCAAATTTGGGTTGTTTGGGATCATAATAAAGTCTGTATTAGAGTGATAGAAGAAACTGATCAGATTATCCACTACAAAGGGAGGTTTGTAGGAGATGATCATGATTTTTTGTGTCCTTTGTCTATGCACAAAACGAGGCTAACAGGAGGAAAGAACTATGGGATACATTGTTGAGAATATCTACAAATGAAGCCTGGTGTGTACTAGGAGATTTCAACACTGTCCTCAACTTGGATGAAAGAATAGGAGGGAATATCACAAATTGGGAAGAAACTATAGTGTTTAGGGAATGCCTAAACACTTGTGGACTGGATGACCTCCCCTTTGAAGGTTCGAAATATACTTGGACAAACAACCAGTGCAAAGAAACAAGAATCTATTCTAAATTGGACAGGGTCTTGGGTAATGTGGAATGGACCATTAATTTTGACTTTAAGGTGTTTTTTAAGGAGAGAGGTATTTCAGATCATTCTCCAATGATCTTGAAACATATGAAACAGGAGGGGCATAGTTTCTGTTTCAAGTACTGTGATATGTGGGCCCTAGATCCTAATTTCTCTTTTCTGGTAGCAGATGTATGGGACCTGAAGCATGGAGGTTTTTTGATGTATCAAGTCATCCAGAAACTTAAACTGCTTAAAGGCCCTTTGAGATCCCTCAATAGAGATAAATTCCAACATTTGGATAAGCAAGTCGATATCCTGCGCACCAAGTTATATCTCACCCAAGCAGCTCTAAAGAATGATATAAATGATGAAAACCTATTGGTTTCTGAAAAAATCCTAATCCAGGAGCTTCACCTTAAACTAAAGGCCATTTATCTTTTACGCAAGCAACAAGCAAAGGCAAATTGGATTACTTTTGGGGATCATGACTCTAAACTTTTCTATGCATGGGTGAAGAAGAGGAAGGCTACTAATCACCTAACATCCATAAAGAATACAGAACAGATCATTGTTGAAGGCAAGCTGGCAGTAGTAGAAGTGTTGGTTGAGTTTTATCAAAAACAATTGGGCAGATCTAATCCAACTGAAGATATTAATGGAGAGATTATCAGAATGGGAGACTGCTTGACAATTAGACAACGGCTGGAGATAATTTCCCCTATTACAACTGAAGAAATTAGGAAATGCATGTTTGAAATTCCCAATAATAAGAGTCCAGGTCCTGATGGATTCAGCAGTGGATTCTTTAAAAGCCAATGGAGGAAAGTGGGGGGCCTGGTTACCCAAGCTATTCAAGAATTTTTTATAAAGGAGGACACCATCAAACAAATCAATGCTACAAACCTTGTGGTCATTCCCAAATGTGAAGATCCCAAAAGCCCTACTGATCTTAGGCCAATAGCTTGTTGTAATGTCATATATAAAGTTATAGCTAAGATCATCTGCAATAGACTTAAAAAGGTCTTGCCTAGTATCATCAATTTGAACCAGGGAGCCTTTGTGGAAGGAAGAGAGCTGGTACACAATGTTCTTCTCTGTCAAGAACTTGCAAGAGGATACAATAGAAAGAACATCTCTCCCAGGTGCTTAATGAAACTGGATTTACAAAAAGCATATGGCAATGTGAGCTGGAAGGCCATCATCCAGATCCTCACCTTGTTGAAGTTCTCTTCAAAATTTATTAACTGGATAAAAAAATACTGTGTGACTACTACCTCATATTCAATACATTTTGCTGGAGAGAATTTTGGTTATTTCAGAGGGGGTAAGGGCATTAGACAAGGAGATCCAATTTCTCCACTGCTGTTTGTCATCATTATGGAATACTTGTCAAGAGCTTTTCTGTGGTTTGCATCTAAAGAGCACTTTGGTTATCATCCAATGTGCAAGTCTCTGAAACTCATCAATATTATCTTTGCTGATGATCTTATAGTTGCCTGTAAAGCAGATATAAAATCCATCACCTGTATTATGAGAGCTTTGCAACATTTCAGGGATACCACTGGACTCAATATCAATCAGGGGAAATCTGAAATTATCTTTGGAGGAATCAAACCTCAGGAGGAAAACGAGCTACTGCAGTTAACCAAGATGAGGAAAGGACAACTGCCATTCACATATCTGGGGGGTCCTATTACCTCATCTAGAATCAGTGCTAAGGATTGTGAAAGGCTTATTGAGAAAATGACAACTAAGATCACTGCCTGGACTTCAAAGAACCTCTCTTACGCAGGCAAATGCAAACTGATCAACTCTGTGTTATATGGTATTATCGGTTTTTGGTGTAGGCTATTTGTAATTCCTACTAAGGTGATGAAGCTGGTTCAAGCCCTTTGCAGAAATTTCCTTTGGGGCTCTACCCAAGAAAGGAAAAGAATTCCTCTGGGAGGACATCTGTATGCCCAGAAAATACGGGGGGCTTGGATTCAAAAATCTAGTTTTGTGGAATAAGGCGAATATCATGAAACTGATCTGGGATATTTCATTGAAGAAGGATGCCCTTTGGATCAAATGGGTACATATAAAATATCTGAAGAAGGGCAGTATTTGGGATCATCATAGTAGAAATGATAGCTGCTTTTATTGGAAGAAACTGATCCAGGTGAGAGACTGCTTTGCTGAGATGGATACTACTACTGCCTATAACCCAAACGCAGGATACACTTGGTTGTTGGGAGAGAAACAAAAGGCAGACTGGGATGGGTTGGTGTGGAATAAATTTACAATCCCAAAGCACAAATTCATCTTATGGTTGATTTGTAGGGGAAAACTTCAAACTAAATGCATGATGGCCAGATTCTTATCTATTGACACTTTATGCCAACTATGTATGAAAGGCCAGGAGGATGTCCAACACCTACTTTGCAGCTGTGAATATACTAAGGCAATCTACTGCAAACTCTTGCCATGGTGTAATTATAATTTTTCTGGCCAAAAACTTATAGACTTGATGAGGGGATGCTTGAAGATACATCCAGTGAAGAAAAGAAGGAAGATTATCTCTATTTTTGCAGCTACTGCTTATGCAATTTGGAAGGCCCGAAATCAAAAAAATTTTCAAGGAAAACATAAAACAGAAGAGGAGGTTTTTAGGGAGATAGTATATCAAGTGGGAGTTTATTTGGAAGGGAAGAAAGTTTAGGAGTGTTATCTGTTTTTGTGCTGCTCCATAATATGTCGTTTTAGGAGTAGTCTGGGAGTTTTTTGTCTTTGTATTGTATGGTGAACTTTGGTGATGAAATATATTTGCTTTCGGTTCAAAAAAAAAACCATTTTTACTCGTACTATTTTATACTTTATCTATTACTCCCTCCGTCTCAGAGTATTTGTCCACTTTCATTTTTACACACCATCCAATGCACTTCTTTAATCCATTTTATGTTGTAATTTGTATATTAAAAAATTATAGAAATTATATATTAATAATCTATATGTTAAGACAAATCAAATAAGATCACACATGACTATATTTAGGCTTACACATTGAGAGAATTTAATGAATCAAAGTGCTTAGATGAACAGTTCCAAAAGTCAAAATTAGACAAAACTGGGAGACGGAGGGAGTACATCATATTTTTTCTCTAATAATCTACCCATCACATCTTACTTTATCCATCACATAAAGGGTAAAATTGATATTAACTACTCCCTCCGTCCTATATCTTTCTTCCCGTTGCGCAAAACGAAGAAAAATTCCAAGTTTTTTCAATCTATTTTATTTAAATATTGGTATAGAAATAAAAAATAAAACATACATTTTTAAAAACCACATCAAAAGTTCAACAAAACAAGTGGTGACATTAATATTTTATTTTATCATATAGGCCATGAAAAAACACAAATAAATATAAATTCCCGTGAAATTGGAATAGTGCTCTGGGAAGAAGAAAGTTTTAGAACGGAGGGAGTACAATTTAACACTTTCATATATTTGCACCAGAAATCATCCTAAATAGGACTAAAACATAGGGAAAAGTACCAAAATAGGACTTCCATGTTTTTTTCCGGAATAGGACTTTGCACTGTGGCAATGTGACTTTGCATTGTGGTAATGTAGCAGTATACATGTGCAAATTACTATACTTTTTTGGTAATGTATATAACCATGTTTGGTAATGTAGTCCTATTTTGGGAATAAAAACATGGAAGTCCTATTTTGATATATTTTCAATGTTTTGGTCTTATTTTGGTCTTTCTCCCTATTTGCAATTGGTTAAGCTAGAAACTTTTTTTGAAATGGAGGGACTAAGATTTATTTTATAAAATATTTTCGAAAAATTTACAAGTACTTCACAATGAAGGTAATATTTTTATTGTCGAAGACTTGAAGTTAACCCACCATGTTATTCCTTTGACTGGCAAACTATTCTTTGACCATAAGATAGGTCAAACAATTTATATTTTTATTGGAGTATATCCGTATGCTTCTAACGTTTGCTCTAAAATGAGGCAATACATCCTAGGTCTATACATAAAGTTATACTTTATGGTTTAAATTCTCATTTAAAAATTATTTTAAATTACTTTACTTTTTAATTAAAGTTTACAAATAATTAATTTATGATATTTGTGACTATTTTATTCGTGAACCAAACATTTCTCAATCCCGTCTACATACTAATTTCACCATGTTATTTTCTAAATTACTTTAATCTTGGGTCTTACACGGATTCTTATATATTTTAAATTTTTTACTCTGTAACATATAGATAAAATATTCTGAAATAAAATATAAATTTTTTATTTTAATTTTCAAATTAATATTAGTATGCATTATATAAATCTTTTTGATACTAAGATATGATATTTTTTAAAATAAAATTTTAGTGTTACTAATGATGAACCTTTATTAAATTTTATATAAAACTTTGCTTTTGAAAAGTAAAAAAAAGTGAAAATGGTGTGTAGTTTTAAATTTTATATAAAGCTTTGTATTTTTAAAAAATAACAAAACTTAAAAAATCTTCTTTCTTAAAGAATAAAATAATTGTGTAGGTTAAAAATTAGAATAGGGAAATACATATTGCTATAATACAAAGCTTCTACAAAAATTAGAAATGAAAAGTTTCTACAAAAGTAAACAACTTCAAAAAATTAGAATAGGGAAATGCATATTGCTAAATTATTTTAATTAATGAATAAGTAAAATAACATCTTCAAAATAATTTAAAATTAATTTTTAAACACATAATTTTTTAAAAAGTAACAAAAGAAACTAAACGGTGGTGTTTTTGAAATCGACTAAATGGTGATTAATTCTAAAAATATACTTATAATACTTATTTTAAATGAATAAAGTCTACATATTTTTTTAAATAATAACATAATTATGCATAATAGAGTGTAGTTAGTTAACGTGATGTATTTAGTATTTTAGCAGGTGTGGCTATCACAACATACACTGATGTATCATATATCTTAATAGAAGTAATTTTCTTTAATTTAGTGCTTGTTTTTTTAAAATTTTATGTTATGAAAGCACTACTTTAATATATTTAAAAATTAATCTGTACCATCAAAAAATTATTCAAAATAGAATTCCATAATACTAATGGGAGACATGGTTCCCAAACACGACCTCCTTTATCTGTTAAATATAAATTTCACTTCATACTTTGTTCAAACTTAATATTAATATTAAATGTTGGGATACAAACCAATCCCACACCAAAAGAAAAAGGAAGAATAAACCAAAATATATAGGTTCACCAAACTTTAAGTATGAAGCCTTTTGGGGTGAGGGCATGCATGGTCCCAACATGTGGCTTTGGAGCCTAGGTTTGTGCGGACTGAAGTGACAGAAAGATAATTTGGGAGATCAAATGGTGTGACTTTAGTGGATTGCTGGTCTGCTATATAGCTTGGCCCATAACAGATAATATCATACTAACGAGGGGTTGGGGTGAGGGCATGCATGGTCCCAACATTAAATACCCTAGTAAAAGAGAAATTGGATCAAAATGAATGTATTCTTCAACAACCATGATTTGTTTGTTGAAGACTTTATATGCTTTACTAGTCAAAGAATATCATAAGAAAATTGTTTCATCGACTATGGCATTAAATGATCATAAAATATTTTTCCCATTGTTCAAAACATAAAATTTCCAACCAAAGACGTGAAGATGCTAGAGATTAGGCTTTCTACCCTTTTATATTTCATACAGAGTAGCATTGAGTGTAGGTATTTTAATAGCACGATTGAGAATATAAGCACTAGTACTCACCGCATCCGCCCAATGATACTTAGGTATGTTAGCCTCATCAATTCTCACCATCGTTTTAAGAGATGGGTTTTCCGCTCAACAACGCCATTCTACTAATAAGGCGTTCTTATGGCTGAAAAGTTATGTGTAATGTCTAGTTCATTGCAATAAGTATTAAGCCCATTTTGGTTGAACTCTCCCCCATGATCACTTCTTACGGATACAATGTTAAAAGCTTTTTTCATTTTGAACCTTTTAGTGAAATACGATAAGTTGTGTGTGCATCACTCTTGTGAGTAAGAAATATAGTCCATGTATAACGGGAGCAATCATCAACCATAACTAAAGTATTGTAATTACCTCCTACGCTCATAGTTTGAGAGGTCTGAAGAGATCAATGTGTAAATGTTGTTAAGGTCTTGTAGTAGAGACAACTTTTTTTTATTTGAAAGAGGTATGTGTTTACCCTTTTGACATGAATCAAAATTCTCTTTTTGAATTTTAGTTTAAAACACAAATTACCAAGTTTTTTGAAACTAATTTGTTAATTACTACCATATTGGTATGACCAATCATTTTATTTTATGACCACATTTTTTCCTCTCTATTCATGAGGCAATGAGCAAAGTGCAAAGGAGTACTTTCAAGATTCATAATATAAATTTTATCTATGTGATCCCCGGTAAGGATATGCTTGCTATCAAAAAGCCGTTTGACCATGCAATGACTAGTAGTAAATGTGACATGATTACCTTTATCACATACGGAGTAATTAACTAATACTAAGCAAGTTATGCTTGAGCCTTTGATCAATAGCACATTATCAATGTTGGATTCTTTGTCTTTTGCGACAGTTCCGGTTCCTATGATCTTTCCTTTGTTATTGTCGCCAAATATAACATTTCCACTGCAATTGATTTAAGAAAAACAAATTTGAATGCATATCCAGCCATGTGCTTGGAGCATCAGATATTAAGGTACCATAGTACACTTGATTCCTTCAAGCACACTTGAAATATTCAATGATATGGGGGTTTTAGGTACTTAATCCTTCTTGGGTCCATGAGGTTAGTTATAACATCATAAGTAACCACATGTGCCTTCTTTCTATTCTTGGATATAATCTTAAATTTGCTAAAGCAAATAGGTGCTATGTGTTTAACATGATCACAAAAACAACAAACCCTAGGGTCATACATATATCTATATGAACTAGGAGGTTTCCTACGTCTTCTAATATTGCTAGGTTGTCTAGGTGCATTTCTAGAATTTCTTTAGCTACTGAGTTGTCTATGTCTAACAAAATATCTAAATTGTCTAGTGAACTAATAATAAATGAACATCCTAGGTTGACAAAGGTTTTCTAATCTTAGAAGTAGTGGGGATGTTTATTACTCTAGATTGAGTCATCTTAGGATACTACAATTGTTATGTGGTATATTATCATTAGTCTTGGTAACGCCATGAAAACTGGTCTAAAAGAGTTGATTACTTA